TAGGGAAAGTAAGGGCCTTCCTTCTTATTGAATGGAAAAACTGGCTCCAACAACACCGCATTAATTCCGAGATTCTTCAAATGTTGCACTTTCTTAGCCACGCCGGCGAAAGTTCCGGCAATATTTATATCTACTCCACTGGACTCACTCTTAGTAAAATTTTCAACATTTAAACGATACACGACCAGTTTCTCCATTGGTATATGCGGCTGGGTATTGCCACTCCAATCAAAATTAGGATCTTTACGTAGATATCCGAGACTCTTCACCATGGATTCTGAATCACCGTGATCAGAAGAAGAAAGATTTCTGATAATCTTAGCATATGGATCCAAAAGAACATGATGGGCATGAATATCTCCTTTGCAGCGATAGCCATAGAGGATATAATTTGTAATATTATCAATTGAAACATGCCAAACATCACCAGTGCGATTAACATATGGATCCAACTCAAGCTCCAAAGTAGGTTCATTCGTTTCGCTCTCATAGAGACACAAAACTACTGTTTTTGCATTCCTTGAAAAAAGAGAAAAGTTAGTCCACCCGTCGTTGGACAAGGAAACACCCAACGGCATAGGATGCCCTGGACCTAAACCCACAGGCACACAGAAGTTAGTTTTTCTGTGCGTTCTTATAGCTGATTCAAAACCAGTGTCATCAGGCTGAAGAAGAAGGAATGACAGGTAAAAAGGGACATTACTGTGATCAAAATCTAGCCTACAGGATTCCCCCACAAATGGCGTCTTCATGGATGAAACCGAAATGCGAGAATCGGAACCTTGAAACACTGAGGAATCAGATCTGAACATGCCCCATAAAAGTATCAAATTATGATTGATCATGGATTGTGGCAAGGAATGAACCTCGATACAGACAGTATATTTCATTTCCATGGCTCCCACAAACACCTTCACCAACCCACCAAATTCAGTTCTGAACAAAAATTTGAATCCCTTGTGCTGCTTCTCCAACATTGGTTGAGCTTCTTCCTGCAACCTATTTTTAATTCTGCATCGTATAGAATCGTTCAAAGCGCCACAAGGAAAAGTTCTATGAGTTCTATGATTTATGCATCGTCTTTGAGCATATACAGATCGTATGAAAGAGATATTTCCATTTCTACAATAATCTGGTGAGAAAGCAAACAACTTTCCATTTATGATGGCCTCGGTTGTCGAAATTGAACTTCGGAATGCATAAGGTGAGCAAGAAGTTGCCATTGGCGATCAACTGAAGGGAAACAGATCAATCTTAGAGGTCAAGCGGGATAACTGGATAATGTGTAGTCCTGCCAGCATGGTATAAATGTAAAAGGCAAAGTTTAAATGTTAGATATGTAGATACATAATAATTGGGCGGGCATGAATTTGGTTTGTTTACCAAACCAAGCTGAAAAAAATTGTTCAAGATCATCTAATGTCCTATCAAACAATACAAATCTAGGTTATTGCAGAGCAAACAAGCATTGTCCGACAACATCTCGAGGTCTTTTGGCGCCATGAGAGCCACCGCCATTAAAAACTCAAAATCAATATGTTCAGAACACAGTTATCAGTAGAATCACGTGTCGATAACAAGTAGAAAATCAAAAGGGCATTCAATCGAATCAAACGAAATTGCGCGAACATCGATTGATTCTATCTACTCCAGCAATAATAGATAGTATAGCCTATTGACGGGCTCCTCGCACGAAATTCGATCGATAATCAAGGACGAAAACGACTCACCTGAGAATCCATAAGACCTCGAGCGAGAGATTGAAGAGCAGTTAGGGCAAGACGAAGCCGCGCCCTTTTCCAATCACAGCTTCCCATTTTCCTTTTGGCGGTGTTTGGCAGTATGCCATTTATCCAATTCAACTATGAATTTAACTTAAATCCATCCAAAAGAAATTGCCTAGAAAGCACGTGTTACTCATACACCTCATCGACTGGTGACGTAATTGTTGGTGGTTTGTCTCTACATCCGGAAGTAATATTTTTTCGAAAATATGGGCTAGATTTATTTCATTTTTTTTTTTTTTGGATTATGAATTTGATCAATCTAAATTTATCGGACTTGATCAATGCTATTTGACGTAAAACTTAGTTGCAGCAAAACATCACCTTAAGATCATGCACGCTCATGCACGCACACGCCCTCTCTCGCTATCTATCCTAGTCTCTTGTTAAAGGTTTTAACTTTTTTTAGATAATTAGATACGGAACAACCAAAACATTGTTATTTACAAATCACGTATTCTCTTTCGTCCAATTTTCAAAAGCATAATTGAGTGATCTAGGGCTCGTTGGATTCATTTTGTCAATACGCTCGATTTGACTATAAATATGTAAAAACTGACATTCGTTTTACTTTCCAAATGTGTCCAGAAAACTTCAAAAAATGATTTAATGGTTTGATATGGGTTTGATTTGGTTCGGATTAAACAATTTTTTATAACATTGAGTTCTTCTTGTCAAGTCGGTCAATTTTACTGTAAGTTTACTAAAATCAGAGTTTTAATTGATTTTTTATCGAGATTTAAATGTCATGTTCAAAAAACCACCTTGAGATCTATGTAATGTCACATGATACTTGCTAGATAGTGGAATTTTATTGATGACGTATCAATTCTAATTATTAGATTACTTCATACATATGCACTTTGCATGAAAAATACCACTTTAGGTAAATTGAACTTGTAATCGACGATTTAGATCACGCCATACAGCCGTCACATGTAGTAGTATGCACCACGTTGTCATCTATACATCTGATCGAAGAACATAATATTTTTTCTCGTACTTGCCCTACCTATTTTTAAACTCGCACTATCTTTTTCTTAAAATAATAT